TGAGGGTCGCCGGGTTTAAGTTTTAGAGGTGAAATCAGCGAGAAAACGGCCACCAAAGTTTGATAACTTCAACATCTTGAGAGTCCCTGAGAACTAAAAGTTTACATATTTTGTGCCTATGATCAACGGGTTTTTTTTTCTCATAAAATTCACACGGAATGTGTTTTCACATGGACATAGAAAAAGTTGAGTACAAAAAACAGGAATTCGATAAAGATTGCTAAACTGGCGAATAAAGACGTGTTTCGTCGATTTAATTATTCTGAAATGACAAGCGTCTGCTTTCACCACGATGCCTCACATATAGGCCCTAATAATTCAGACACGGGAACGTTTATCAGTGCTGGGGCAGGCTCAGTCTATATTATACCCAACAAAAACAAATGTTACGCAAGTCATTCAGCTACTTAAGGGGTGTTTAATTGCCCACCTTCGCTAGAATGTAGGCCATGACCGATTGTCTTTATTCTGTGATATAGTGAGCTCATGTCACCAAGCTGAAAAATACTCAGAGTATAAAATGAGGTCACAATATGGCGGCGAAAAAAAAATGCAATCTGAGTATTTTCTGGAGCATACCATGTACCAGTTGGTGAGCAGTTTCTATCCTCTGAAAAGTGTTCACTCGACATAGGGGTATGAAGTGACAGGACGCTGGGTACCCACAACGGATGGATCGGGCGAATCGCTCGATTCGATCGCCTGAATGAAATTGAAAACTAATACTCGGTGCCCACTACGGCTGGATCGGGTCGATCGCCCAACTCGATCGCCTGAAACTGAAAACAAAAACATTTGTTTTTGAGGCGATCGAGCCGGGGCGATCGGCCCAATCGGCCGATCCCAGCAGTAGTGGGCACGGGTAAAGGGGTGAACGAGTCGGGCAATCGGCCCGATCAGCCGATCCCATCCGTAGTGGGCACCCCGTATAATGCTTTCCTCAGTCGAGTGTTTTGAGCCGGCGACCATGCTTCGACTCAACTAATACGGGGTGCTCACTACGGATGGGATCCGATCGTCCCACTTGATCGCCTCAAAAAACAGTTTCAGGCGATCGAGTCGGGCGATCGGCCCGATCCAGCCGTAGTGGGCACTGGGCATAAGCAAACCGAGAAAGGGCTATCGCCAAATTGCAGGCAAGAGAGAGAGTCCCACAGATGTGTCTGTATATTGCCATGGGTGTGTCCCTCTCAACAATATGTCGTCTCCGAAGACGTTTTCAAGTTGCTGGAAGTACTCGTGATGCTCACAGAACTGACTGACCACGAGTGACGTCATACGCCAAGACCGTGCCCTTCTGCAGAAGCATCTTCGAGACAGCTTCATTTGTGCTATCGAATCGGCCCGAAATCACGTTGTAAAATTATTTTTTTTTGGTAAGCGTTTTTACGGTGCTCACAGCTGCATAAGGTCATATGAGCGCACACGACACACCAAACATTTTTTAGTTGGTAGTAAATTTTTAATTTTGCCTTGGTGGTGACCGAAGAATACTCTTATCGATTTTGGACCACCAAGGGATCTTTAACATGCGCAACTTGCACACGGGACCTCCGAGATTTTTCGCAGTTGTCCAAAAAGGCTAGGTGTAGATCTTTCCCACCGGAAGATCAGGGGTATGGCTGAAAGACAGCAGTAAGAAGGAGCCAAGGAGTGGCAGTAGAAAGGCAACAGAAAGAGTCAGGAGCCCAGAGGAGGGGGCAAAGGAGGTAAGAGGGTGAGGACAGAAAGTGGAGACGAAAGCAGACGACAGAACGTTGCTATAGAGCAGGAAAAGAGGTAAAAGGAGACAATGTTAGAGAAGAAAATGTGGCGGTCGCTATCCAGAATCGAACCCCGGACCTTTTAAAGAGAGGCCAACACCGTAACCTCTAGGCCACGAGAGCCCTTGTTCTGTCCGTGGAGAGCATAAACACAGTGAAACAAACGTCACTGTATTTTATCAGTGACTTGAGATAGAAATCTATGGTTCGATAAAAAAAAGTTCGTGGTGCAACTTATCCTCAAATATCTCTTTAACGGGTGAATCAATGCCGTCCATACTTTGCATAGCAGTTTGTATCAATTTGTCTTAAATAAATCATATTTTTTCCCCAGCTGTAAACATTAAAAAATATTTAGAAACCACGCACTTGGATTTTTTAAATTAGTATTTACGAAGGAATTTTCTAGAATACAACTTGCAGGTGTTTACAAAAATGTTGATCTGTTAAGACAAATTGATACTAGGCACTGTGCAAAAATTGGAGAACCTATGTTCGATAGTTGAGGAGATATTTGAAAATAATTCGCACCACGAATTTTTGACCGAACTATAGTTTTAAAATGGAATATAATTTTTGTAAATGTGTCGTGTTGAACACCTATTGGAAATGCGCTGTAGTTCTTTATTACGTGAAGCAAACCTTACAGCGCCCTGTCCAGTGATTAGGTCCACGACAAACAGCAAAATTTTTGCATCCTGTTACGGGATGGAAAGAAAAATATAAAGCAAAACAGCCCCCCCCCCCCCAAAAAAATCCCCTACCCCCCCTCTAAAAACCCCACAAAAAAACCCACAAGACAAATAAAACAAAACAAAAACCCCAATAACAAACAACAGTTGAAGTGTTTTTGTAATGTGGAACAGACACAATTTATTGAACACGGGCTCATGCCAGCGTGCCTTTGGCACGACAATCTAGCTAGATCTTGGGGTTTAGACAATCATTTATTGCTTTCGCCCGCCATTAGGGCCTACAGTCACGTCTAACTGACGACAATCTTGATGACGTCACTACTACAGTCACCACTAACTGACGACAATCTTGATGATGTCACAACTAACTGACGACAATCTTGACGATGTCACAACTAACTGACGACAATCTTGATGATGTCACAACTCACTGACGACAATCTTGACGATGTCACAACTAACTGACGACAATCTTGATGATGTCACAACTCACTGACGACAATCTTGACGATGTCACAACTAACTGACGACAATCTTGATGATGTCACAACAGTGACCACTAACTGACGACAATCTTGATGACGTCATCACTACAGTCACGACTAACTGACATCAGTCTAGATGACGTCACTACGTCTAAAGAGTACATCTACTCAATGAAGTAATAATAATAATAATATTATGAAGAAATTCTACTTTACCGATCCGTTTGAAATTCGATTGACAGTGAAGTAAATAAATACATAAATGTGTCACAAAGCAGTGGAATCAGGTGCTCATCAATTTTGGGACATATGGGTTTATAGGTATCTTCTTAAAGCCTGTCCATTTGCCTTGCTTTTGATAGCAAAAATATCTATGATACAAGTCAAAATACTGGTAAATGAAGGAGATGGGGTTGCCTAGTTTCAGATGTAAAATCAGCAAAGAAATGGCCGCCAAAGTTGCGTTATTTCCTTAGCTTGAGAGTTCGTAGAAACTAAAAATGTACATCTTTTATGCCTTTAATGAACGTTTTTCAGTAAAAACCACACATAAATATGTTCTTTAGTGGACATGAAAGATGTTGAGCCAAAAAACAAAACTTTGATAAAAATTCGTAGACCTGCAGAAAAATGTCAGTTTCTTGAGTTTAATTATTTTGACTAGCGCCTGATTTCACAACGCTGCTTCACAAATACATCAATACATAAAAAAAATGGATGATACAAAATATCACAGACAAGGGCAATCCAAAGATACCATGGCCGGTAGCCACAGGGCAGTGCCCTATTTTCTGAGGTAGGTCATATGAGCGCCAGAAGATTAGAATCTGTTGCTCAAGAACATACTCCAGTGACCACCGACACAGACCCTGTGACCACCCAACCACCTACGCACTGTGTCACCGACACACGCCCACCTACACACCGTGTCACCGACACACGCTTGTCACTGGGAGTCTGGAGTGTGTCAGGTTTTTTTTCATAATATAAAAAGTGACGTAAACTTTGGCACCACCAGAATTATATACATAGCTTCCACCCCCTCCACCTTTCCAAATGGAAAAATACTATTCACCCGTAATCAACCACTCCCATTCACCCCTCCGCCCCCCCTTTCCAAAGAAAAAAATTAAAATTAAAAAAGACCACCGCCACCTTTACACACACAAACAAACAGAGTCTTTAACGTTCAATCCATTCCCATATAAAGTGTTGTGTATACCCCCTACCAAAAAAATATAAATTTATATATAAAAAATTAAAACAAAATGAAATAAGAAATTAGGTGTTGAAAACACAAGAGGCTGGGACATTTGAGATTACCCCAAACTGTTTTTCATATACAAAAAGTGTCAACATTTGATATAATATACATGTACATTGGCTATGTAGAGTTCAGTTGTTTTTTTTTAAAAAGGTCTTGTTTACTGATACAGATATAGATAGCTAATTGATTATAATAATAATAATAATAATAATAATAATAATAATAATAATAATAATAATAATAATAATAATAATAATAATAATAATATGATAATGATAATAATAATAATAAAAAAATAATAATAATTACAATAATAACAATAATACTAAATTGAAAGCCAGAGATTACCACCCCCCTACCCCTCAAATAAAACAACAAACAAAACAACAACAAACACACAAACAAAAAGGCAAAAAACAAAACAAAAACCCACCAAAACAACCCCCCCTCCCCTACCCCCTAAAAAAAAGCCCAAACCCACCCCTAATACAACAAAAACAAAACGCACAAAATAAGGAAAAAACAATCCACCACAAAAGACAAAAGCTTCAACAAATACAGAACAAATTCCCAAAGAGATGCAGTTTTCAGATGGACACAAAATGGGAACCCCCCCCCTCCCCCCCTCCCCCCCCCCCCAGAAGGATAAGAAAGTCGAATAATAGTTGTGACGAATTGACGTAAAGAAAGCAATAAACCCATCTATCTTGAACGAAGCTCTGATACAAAAAGTAGGCTACTAGATCTAGCTTATTAATTTCAGTGTGCAACAATTTTGCTGACATAACTCTTAAGGTTCCTGCGCTGCCATACAGATCTGACGCTCGCACACAGAGGTACAACATTTCTGACGTTTTTTACAGTCCGTGTCAGCAACGCACAGATAAGGCGATCGTTCCATCTCTCTCTTGCAAGTGGCGGATTCTGGGCCAAGTTTCCGGGCTGGCAGATGTGGACACACGCCTTGGCTGAGCACACAAACATGGTGGGGCTTGCACTTCCGGCATCGTTTGCGCAATGCGCATTCCGTACCGGGTTTGCACTGTGGGCAGGTTCCCGGTGGCACTCGTGCACTCACACACCTCTGCTGGTGCTCACACTCTCCACCGTCAGACGGACACTTGGACACGAGTTTACATTTGCGGGCTCCCCAACACTCCCGGCTGCAGACGGGAACACACTCCGCTTTCTTCGTCTTCCTACAGAGCTTACCAGGAGCACACTTGTCTTTGATCATTTTGCACCGCGTGCCGTCAGAACACTGCAACTCCCTGCAGCTCTGTGGTCGAAGGTCTGTGCACATGTGCAAGGGTGGACAGTTGGGCATTACACAGTCTGCGGACTCACTGAATGGTGGGCAACTCGGGGGCGGGCAGGGGGGTTGGTAGCTCTCGCACTTGAACCCCGCTCGGCATTGCGCGTTGCCACAGGTTTGAGCGTCCCCTGGTGGTGGCACACATTTGTGGACGGGCTCACAGTCGTTTTCTGGGCAGTCTGTCTTTGGGCGTGAGGTGGCTGCACAAACAAGACCTGTGGACAAAGTGTGTCATGAGAGCCTGTGTTGCTCACTCGTGAGAGCCAGGAGACATTTTACCACACAAGTTCTAATATGTTACCATAGGAACAAACTATACTAAAAAACGTTTTTTCCTAATAAAAATGGTATGAGGTTTAACGTTTCTATCAACGCTATTAGATTATTCAAGAGGTTACTTGTGAGAGCTGGGAGACATTTCACCACACCAATAGGCTACCATATGAAGAAACAATAATAACAAAAGTTTTTTTTTTCTTATTAAAATGGTATGGGGTTTAAAGCCTCTCTCAGCACTATCAGAGGCGGGACCTCCTAGTTTAACGTCCATCTCCGAAAGGATAAAGCCAAACGGTTCGGAAGTTTTAGGCAGTCAAAGTGACGGGTTTTCAGAATTAAAATAATATAACAAGTCTTGAGTCAAAATGTAATTGATTAAAAAAACTTCTGTCAACGTTATATTTTACATGCTATATTTTGTACAAACATTTCATTGGTCAATGATTTGTTTTGATGGTGATATACAAGAAGTTAAAAAAAATCGGCTTTGACTTTGTTATGCTTTTTCTTCTAAAAAATGACAGCTTGTACTTTTCCAGTAAGCTAAGTGATAGAGATATAGATATGTGAGGCAGCGTGGTGGAATCAGGCTCTCGTCAATTTTGGGCATGTAGAGTTATCGGTATCATCTTAAAGCTTGTTCACTTGCCTTTATTTGGATGAAAAAAAATGTCCATTTATCTTGAATACAAGTTGAGATATTTGCGAAAGAAGGAGGTGGGGGTCACCTGTTTTCAGAGGTAAAATTAGTGAGAAAATGGCCGCCAAAGATTAGTTATTCCCTTAGCTTTGAGTCCGCGGAAACTGAAAATTTACATTTTTGTGTGCCTTTAATCAACGTTTTTAAGAACAATCCACACAGAAATGAGTTTTTTAATGGGCATGAAAAGTGTTGAGCCAAAAAAAAAAAAATTTTGATAAAAATTCAGAAACCTGCGGAAAAATGCAAGTTTCTTCTCTTTGATTATTTTGACGAGAGCCTGATGCCACCACGCTGCCTCACATAGAGATATAGATATAGATTTAGAAATAGTTACGTTCTTACCGTCTAGGCATCCTCCACACTCATCGTCCGTCACACACACATAGCTGTCGTCCTCTTTTTGTTTACAGAGCTGTAGGAAAAACACATAGGGAGAACCCGTGAGAGAGAGAGAGAGATAGAGAGAGAGAGAGAGAGAGAGAGAGAGAGAGAGAGAGAGAGAGAGAGAGAGAGAGTT